CACCATTGGCATCACTTCCAGATATTACAGATCCCTCAGATGCAGATGTGGATGTAGTTTCGATGGCCATTACAACTATGACTATTATGAACTTTCAGAAGAGAAAAAGAAACAGAAGATGTATGAAAACCAGTAACTTCCAACTTTGTTATCGATTGATAATCAATCAAAACGAGTAATCAAAAGAAGAGAAAAGAGCAGTTAACCGTGTGCTCTGATACCATGTTAAGATCTTCAACAAGAAGCATGGGCATCCATTGATGAAGCTGCAAACTTCCCCAGACGAGACTGAGGATAAAAGCTACAATGCAAGGCTTTGAGATTGAATTGTGAAAAGTTTTATTACCTTCATTCATCACTCATGAGGTGTATATATACATGCGATTAGATGGATCAAACTAGTGGAAAGAAAATAACTAACTAACTAACTAACTAGTTTGTTATGTAACTAACTATTACAATACTAACTATAAAATGGAAATACAACTAACTAACCAACTTGGAAGGAATAAGTAATGTACATGAATTAATTATGAGTGTTAATAACAACCAATTTAAACTGAGTAATTAACTTACATCTAGGAAGCTAACGAAAAACTCTCTGTCTAGTGCACTTTTAGGATTTTGATTAGGCTTTGCTCTTACAGCAACACGAACAGGCACTCCACTTGGCCCAACAACTTCTTTTGTATAACCATCCTGATAAATAGCATCAGCTCAGAACACATACAGAAATACAATAATCGAACAAATAATGCATCACGAATCATAGCTCATGTTTTGGCAAGTTACCAATGAAATGACACCGTTTTACTAAAAACATAAACTACAATCTTCACCTGGCATTTGCCCTTCCCATTCTTGACTACACAAAATGGATCACGAAGTCTCGTCTGAACATGACCACTGTGAACTCCATTTCTTTCCAAGTTAAACTTGGGAATTTTACGTCCATCAAAAAATGGATTTGATCCATCGGATATCCCGTATGGCATATTTGAAGTAACAACAGTAATATTGATATACTCCATTTCTGCAAATTCATTTTCTCCTTGGTAGTTTTGTTGTTTCCTCATGATTGAAGCAGCTATTCCAGACATAAATGAGTCCCACATAAAGAAACTCTGCATCCAGCAACATTATCATCGCTTAATTACCTTCAAGCTGATGTTTTATATCAATCAGAATAGTCCAATATGTACCTTATAGAATTGGTCAGCGAACCAAGTATCACGAACAATCTTCAGGGACTTGAAACAGTACTGTGCCTCGTAGGTATGCTGATTCTTTTCAAAGGTCTCGAAAAACTCTTTGGTAATGGGAATGGTGTTTGTGGCATCCAATGGGACAAGAGTAACTGGAATACCAGAATGAATCACCTACATTATAAGGAAAATGATCATTAAGATTAGCTACAAGCCTTCAACGCATGACTAAAAGTCACGTCTCGAGAAGAGAGTGTGCAGAAAAAATGCCTATTGATTTTTGTAATACCTGATAAGCAGCAAAAGGATCCATAAACATATTGAATTCTGCATAAGGGTTGCTTGTGTAATCTGTGAATAAATTGCCACACTGTCCAGGTTGGCATGAAGAAGTCGAGTTTTTTGTGCAGCACCCTATACCACCTCCCATAATGTAAATATGCTCAACATTTTTCTTTAAATGTGGATTGCTTAGCAGAAATAGTGCAAAGTTTGTATGTGATCCTGTGAGAAAAACTACTGTTGGCCCTGAAGAAATTGTGTTAATCATTACTTGCTGAGCAGTTGGCTGTCGAAGAGGAGAATATTGTCTCTTGCCCTGTATACACAAGTTATACACACTACACTGTATGGGGCGAAATCGGATCTAGTGAATAGATATGATTAGGACAAGAAGAATGGTTACCTGTGGAAGGAAGATCTTTCGGAATCCATAATTTGAGTCGATATTCAAGCGTCCTCCAAGACCAACAGGTACAGTTTGTCTATATCTACAATATCCATCAGTACCATCTCCCTAACAAAAGGGCAAGCGTGGAGATGTATAACTAAACGACATTTTGACATTAAAAATAAATGCTTGATTTCAACATGCAGAATAGTGTCAAAAGGTAGTTTAAATGCGAAAATTCAGTTCACCTGATCAATGATGGGGAGATATCCACCAACATCAGGCATAATGGTACCATTGGGAAGTATTCCCCCTTCACCTCCCACGCCAACAGCAATATCGTCACGCCCCATCATGTAAAGCATATCATACACATGATTTACAGCATGCCCTGCATTAGCCCATCCATTTGCGCTAATAGTTATTGCCTGCACCAAAAGGTTTTATCATAACATGTCAAAAGGATCTTTGCGCTGGCTCAACTCAACTAGTATCAAAGCCAGATGATTCAGCAGGACGAGTAAGGATATGAGGATAGTGTGTGGAGCAAGACGAGGCATGCGAGATTTGCCATAAATATTCGGATGATGTGGGTGACTGACACACCAGGTAAACCAATAAATCTTGGTGATAGGCCATGCGCTACAGAGTTTTGAGTGAGCGAACAAAAGTCTCATGTTAGAATTAGTTGATGAGAAAAAGAAGCTAAAGTATAATAAAAGGGTGTAACCATACTCTAAAATGTGAGTTTTGGAAAGTATGTTATCTGAAATGGATAATATCACACCATATTAAGAATCAAGCTGATTTGGTGATATGTTTCTACTTTGGGGAGGTGTGTAATTTTTGCATTCAAATTTGTGATGTTTGATTTTTGTCATTCAACTTCACTAACAAAAAAGTGGCCAAAATACCCCTCATGTGAAATTATAAAGTTGATTTTTTGAAGCTACAAAAAATCGTAGATTTTAAAGAAAGTTTCTAGAATAATTTAGTGTAGTCATTTGGATAAGTATCCTGTAGAAATATCAAGATATTCAAGAATAGAAGATAATGTTACTAGTTTTCCTATAGATGTTCTAGAGGAATTAGATATTTGTAGAGAATCATAGAGTGTAGATTTTGTAGTATGTAGAACCATCCATATGTTATAAATAGAGGATGGTATTGAACATTTGTATTAATTAATCCAAGAACGTTTTTGCTTTCTTTCAAATTCTATCAATCATATATTATTATAAGTGGGAAGCTCAAATATTCAAAGTTAGATTACCATTTTGCCCTTTCACTAAATAAAAATAAAATTAATTAATTTATTAAATACTAATATTTTAATTACATAATGATGGAATATGAAGTTCAACAACTTCACTTTAATAATAAATGACTCTTCCAATTTAGTGACTCTTTGAATTTTGAAACCAAAATAAATTTTATGTATTATGATTCAATGTGCTTTATTAGTTTGATATGTGAAAAGACAACTAAATATCAGTAAATTATTTCTGATATCATCAATATTCATGTATTTTTCATCATCTACTGGTCTCTTTTCTTCTTTCCTAGATAATGATACAGATACATATCGTCAAAAACTAACAAAAAAAAATAACAGATAGCTTCATTATGAAATTAAAGGGAGAAGTTTTCTTACAATATAGATAAGATACGACATATATATTTCTTCAGATCTTTTTTATGTTAGCTTATGATTTAAGTTTTTCTTTTTCATTTTGGAGTTGAGGTATGATTGTCCAAAATAAACTTAGTATGCAACTCATCTTTTATATAATTATGTATCGTTTGACATTGTTCTGAAATTTAGTTCATCGATTTTTTGGAGTTAAGGTATGGTTATACAAAATAAATTTGATAGGCAAAGATTATTGTATGTTGTCTTTTCCTTCTATGTTTATTTTTTATATTTTCTCTCTATCATTCTTCTTTAATTTAATTTTCTATGAAAAGATTATATTATCGTAACATTTTTTTGAGATTGTTGCATTTTTGTACTAATCATTACACACGTCTTCATAAACTTTCAATCATCCTAACGAATTTATTAAAAAAAGATGGAATACACATCCAAGGCACGTGTCCAGAATCTAGTATTACAATAAAAACCAAAGTCTTCTTCCATTACAAAGTTCTTCTTTTCAAATTCTTTAAGTTTTTAGCTTCCTCTTCTTTTTTAGTTGAATCTTTCGATCTTAGCTACGATCTTGGGCTAGCACAAGATTATCCAATTATACTTTTCTTTAACTATTCTCTACAACATAAACAAAACAAAACACAAAAATATCACAAGACAAGAGTTATATCTTACGAGGCATTACTTAGTGTGAAAAATAATAAAGTTGATTTTGAGAATGATCGATTGTTCTAGTAGTGTTTCTATAATAGTGTAGGATAATATCTAGGATAAAAAATATCTAGATATCTAGAAGATAAAGTTTCAGTAGAATTTTTCTTTGTAGAAGTCTCTAGAAGAATTTCTAGAATCATCCATGAACAAGTATAAATATGGTTGCTCTTATACATTTGTAAGCAACCCAAAACCCAAAATCCAAATCAACTAGTCTTCTTCTATATCAAAGTTTTCTTATTCAAAATATTCCTTCTCCTTTCTAGATTCCTCTTCCTTAGTTGAATCTTCCAACCTTAGTTAACGATCTTCGACTAGCAAAAGACTTCTCGAATTATACTTTTCTTCTGCTATTCTCTACACTTAGTTCCTAGTATAAAACTTATGTGATAGAAGTATAAGTTTATATTAAGAACCCATAAAGTTATGTCTAATGATACGTAACTTATTCTACGGAAGAATTCCTGAACAAGACAAAATTTCTCTAAATTTATGTATCGCAAATTTGATACTATAAAGTTCATGTTGGAACTAAAATTTTGCCTTGCGAAATCAGGTCATAGTTAAACCAACAAATTTTCATTGAATGAGAAGCACAGAAGAGATTAAAAACCATCAATTTGTCGGGCAAAAATTAAAGATCATCCCCAAATAGGATGTGCAAAAACTTGATAATTAAGTGAGTTTGCGAGAGTCAATGAATATGATATTTGTGTTGACTTTTCAATGAAACTAAGCTCTTTTCTTCTTTTTTTATTCGAAAGCAAAACAAGAAAAAATAAAAATAAGTATATTGCAAAACAAAAAATTCGGTTTTTTATACAATGTAGCTACTCAACTTCTTTCCCTGGAGAATCAATTGCAAGAAGCTAAAACTAAGTAAAGAATTTAAGATGTACTTCGTTATCTATTTCTTTTCGAATTCATTTTTTTGACTTATAAATAGAGTTTTTTCTATTAACGTTACATATCATTATTCCTGTACGTTCACTTGGAGGTTAAAAAATTTGTGTTACAATAATAGTGAACACAAATTTTTTAGATGATTAGAGGTGAACTTTAATCGAGTAGTAAAAAAACATTAGAGGTGAACTTTAATCAAGTAGTAAAAAGAAAAGACATGATAGATAATTTTTAGATGATTATATTCGATATTCATTTTAGATTAGTAATAGCGTCTTAAAAGTTTTAGGTTCAAGTCTTATTATCACTTTCTACACACAAAAAATAATTATTTAACACATAAAGAAATCAATCATTCACCCATAGGAGTCATGGCATAATATAATTAAGTAAATAAAAATGTGATATTATCGTAATCGAATAATTCCAACATTTGAGGATAAAAAAATAGGACATTGAGGGGGAAAAGAGTACCTTCAAATCAATTTCTGATCTATTAAGCTTTAAAATATAGAGAAGAGCAAAGAAATCATCAGTATCCACATCTGTATCCAGAAGAATTCTATTAAGACTCTCTACTCCATTGAAGAAAATTGGCATAAATAGCAAAATCATGAAAATAATTCTTTGAAAAAATCCCAAAAACAACATTTTTTCTTTCTCCTTCATCACAACAAAATCTTTTTATTTTTTCTACACAAGTGAACTTCTCTTCACTATATATTTATAAATTTTTTGGATGAGTTCTAAAGTCATGTTAGGTAAACATATATACTCCCTATAATTTAATTTCCTAATTAAGATATTATGGAGAAAAAATATATTTATTTAGAGCAACTTATAAAAATGACTATATTTGTAGGGTTATTGAAGTTCAATAGCTATAAATATCTTATTTACTAAAAATGACTACACTTTATGTCAATTTCTAGCTGCATGTTTGTATTAATTTTTTTTAATTATTATTATTATGATTATTATTTACGGAGGGATCTTACAATGCACTAAATAAAGTATGATGTGTTACCATAACTGTCAAGTGCCGACCTTTTATTATGTTCCTAAATCATTCAAATTTTCATTATTAAATTACCAACTAATAATTACATATTGTATGCATATCTAACTCATCTTATAATACGATAAGTTGTATTTATATTCCTAAATACAATATATTCACTAAATACTAATTATAAAAGTATTAATAAAATTTTGAATATAAAAGAGTATTCATGTCTTTTCTCATTGTATTTTTGCATCTGTTTTTTATTTTTTATTTATTTATACACTAATACAGTTGTAATTACAATAACTAAATATTAAGGAAAATGTATTACTTGTACAATTAGCATATGAATACTTTGAATTCAAATTGGTGTTTCTATATATATAAAACTTAAAGCATTAATATATCAAGGATACAAGTATTTATAAAAATTTAATTTATTAATACATCAATCAAGGTAAAGTAGTACAATTTTAGCATATGAATACAACAATTCGGAAAATGAATGCACTATTGTTAAACCAAAAAAATGAATACACCAATATATTATACATATGATTATACAGTTATTAGATAAGAAAATGAAAAGGCAATAGTGTATATGTATCAAAGTATGTAAGTATTCGACTGTATAAAAATTGAAAAAATCAACAAAATATCGATCTATTTTTCATAAAGTTTTTTCTATGATACTTGATGTTGATGTTAACTTATGTATTTATTTATAAAAATATAGTATTGATGTATCCAACTATACTTGTATTGCCTAATGAAATTTGATAAATTACCTATGTATCCAGATATACTTGTATTTACATATCACCATTTGTATTAGTATTACAATGCAATTGTCTATGTATATAAGTATTATACTATATAGAAATTTGACAAACAACAAAATTATCTTTCTACACTCTCTGCTAACAATGATAACCTAACAGCTCCGCTAAACTACGGGTATTTTCTACGCTCCATCTCATAGACCCCTGGGGATCTCTCATCGGTGCGCCGGGACAAGAAAATAAATCCAGCATTAAGGTGACGCTCTTCGCAAGGATATATGCAATTTCGTCGTGGAAACAAAAGTATAAAAGCAATATAAGTTTCATAAAAATCACTTTCAATCAAAACCCTATTAAAATAGATGTACATAAATAAAAAATTTTAAAAAAAATGAGGCAAAAAATCTGTTAGAAAATACCTTATAATGAATTCAAATCACAAAAAATGCTCCTAGAATCATACAAAAAGACTTGAATTGGAAGGAATTTGGAGAAAAAATACAAAAAAATATGTAATATAGAGATATTGATGAAAGAGAAGATATTGAGGACATAAATAATTATGAATATAATAATAATTTTCCTATTTAATATTTATTTATATTAGATATATATAAAAACTGATTATTGGTATATAATTAACTTTGTTATTTCCTATATAGTTATATCTATATAACATAAAAAAATTAAATTATAGCTATTTTATTCAAATATATATATTGATATATGTCATCTTCTATAGTTTTTTCATTTATTAATTCTTGGATTAGTTTTAAAGTCATGTTAGGTAAATATATACTCCCCTATCAGATCATTAAATTTCCTAATTAAGATATTATGGAGGAAAATCAAGATTGAAAATTATACAATTTAACGTGCATGTACAAGTCAAAGAACAATAACCAATTAAAAAGAACGAGCTATTACATTTGTATTATAATACATGATAACAAAGAGTAGTATATATGAGATTAAGATGTTGAAACTACTCCTAATCATTAATCCAATGCGTCGAGTTTTAAAAATAAAGACAATATATACTTTTTAACTGTATCTGGCGCGAATTCAAATTAACTCAACTAATGATTTAAAATCACAATTTTAAAGAAAACGTATGAAGAGATTTTATAGACTTCAGAAAAATTTATAACACTTTATGATACGGATATATGACACCCCTTTGACCATTTTAAAATGGGAAAATTATATATAATGATAAACTAATAAATTAAATTAAATGTCATAATCATACTTTGATTTAATTGTGCCATGTAGCAAACTGTTTGTCAGTCACCTCTCTCCCTCAAATTCTCGCTCGCCACTCTCCCTCGCTCACTCCATATCTCGCTAGCTCCCTCTCACTTTTATACAAACACAAATGTATATAATGTATTTGTGTTTGTATAAAGAGAAAAAAAAATTGTATATATACATCTATTTTCGTTCTCCTCTGCCAAATCTCGCACTCCACCCTCGTTTCTATCGCTTATACAAACATAAAAGAAATGTATAAATTGCGCTTATGTTTGTATAAAGCGAGAGAAAATTGTATATGCACCTGCAAATACACATATCTTCGTCCTATACACTTATAATTATACAATACAAATATTTCCCCACCCAATTTTCTTTTGTCTTTCTCTGTTTCTCGTTTTATACATACTCAAATTATACAATTGATTTTGTATGCAATTACTTTCTTTTGTATTTGTATAGCGAATTACATAATTGGTTTCTTTGTATATGTATAGAGAATTATACATATTTATGTTTGTTATGGAGCGCAATTATACAAAATCTACTATAACATACAAATTATAAATTTTGTGTTTGTTATATGTGAAAGTTGCTCATCTAAAATACAGGCTTAAAAAAGACAAATTTTGGGCCTCTTTTATCTGATTACAAATGAATTGGCAGTTTAATTTCAAAGTCTTGTCTGCTTATTAAAGCTTCCAACTACAGCTGACTGCTTCTCATCACTTAGTCTATTTGCAAAAACTTTGTAATAACCTGAATGATCCAAATTCTGCAATACTTTCACTGATTTCCCTTGCTTTTCGTCGAGAATTATCTGTCCATCTACAGATTCATACCCCGTGGCGGAGACTTTAATTTTCTTGACATCAAAGGTTGATTTCAGTACAGAATAATCACTAGCCAAAATTACTGCTCCAAGGATTTCTCCGACAAATATATCCTGAAATGTCACAATTGATAAGTTCATATAGGGTCTAGCAAAAAACTGAATTTGTACATTGCACGTTAGATGGTATACGAAGAAAGACTTTGATACAAATTAAGAGAGGATTATATACCATATGCTTGTATCTAGGATGTGTCTTTTGCAGCTGATGTAACGTTGACAGTAAACGCTTCACAAAAATTACTTCAGGTGTCTTCTTAGTTAGGTGAAGTCTTTTAAGAATCGTTGGAAATGCACTGAATTTCCGTTGTATGCCAAGTGGAATGAGAGTGATGTTGAGCTCTGAACTCAAAACTGTCTTTGCTGCTAGAGGGTCAAGAAACATGTTCAGTTCCGCGAATTTATTTGAGGGAACATTGAATACATTTCCCTTATCAGTATTGTCATGATTGATGTGCCCTCCGACAACTACTATATCCTGCATCATAATTCAAAAGAAAAGAGTTTTCTCACTTACGAATGTCTATTATAGATATCTCAAACAACATTTGTTGTAGTTGATTATCTCTCGTAAGATGATAAGGATAGAAGGAACACTTGCCTGGATGGCGTTGGTCATATTTTTTCCTGCGAGAACAATCTTTGCTATGTTGGTCAATGGGCCGTTGGTTAAAATGGTAACCTTGGATCCTGGATCAAGTGATTTCACCACTGACTCCCATACTTCTAGTGCCAGAGGTTGTCTGAGTTCAGGATGATCAGTGTCTCTAGGAGCTCCAAATTTCACTGAATTTTCCGCTGTATATCTGAAAAATATTTACACCAAGATGGTATATCAGTAAAATAGCATACTACAAAGTTTACACTCTACTACACTAGACAATGTACCTGCGAGGACTTCGAGGCAAAGAACGAGATAATCCGTAAAGAGTATCTGAGTCGAGAAATCCACCACTTCCTTGTGGTATAACCTTGTTGTACTTGCAGTCACCAACTGCAGAGAAAACAGGATCAGACTGGTTCATTGCAAACACATCTCCAAGGCCCACGGGGATGTCATCACGACCCATCATATGAAGCAAATCATAGACTGAATCAATTGTTGCAGCATTTGCCCAGCCAGTTGGACTCACAATTATAGCCTGAACAGAAGAAGAGATTGCACAATGATAAGCATTGCTTCCTCGACTTAGTCCTAAACTAACCAAGACTTCATAATAAAGAGTTAAACAGACTAACATTCCCATTCACCCAACCAATGTGGGGCACTTAACATCTCTTGCATGTCCGTGACTGGACATCTGGTGTGCAGACAATACAATATAGAAACCAAACATTGGATAAAGCAAAAATTGGATCCTGGGCGTAACTTAACTCATGAGGTGAGGATTGTCTAAGACCGCACCAGGAGACAGTAACTCATTCCCTCCACCAATGTTTTAAGTATTGATCAAGCTATTATTATACTGAACATAAGGAAGGACATCATACCTTGAGATTAATTTCTTCAACTGGTATTTTAAGGAGATAAATGAGAGCTATAAAATCTCCAGCACTCATATCCATATCAAACACAACATTTTTCCGAGGATGCTTCCCGCTGAAATCTGGTTTGCGGAGTTCTCCTCTGTAATGAGGAAATTGTGTAGAAAAATTGAATAATCCTGAATTTTCTCTTTGGTTTAAGACCTGAAAACATGAAAAAACATAAAAATAAGTTGTC